GCAAGCTTTCATAGCATTTACATGCTACAGCGAAATAAACTTGTTTAAACATCAAGCTCTAGTAAATATTACCTGTAAATAACGTAAATATACATTGACTAGCAACGTAAGCAAGGACTAAACTGTTATCTGTATCTTCATTCTGTCTTAAACTATGCACTATCCTGTCATTTTTTTTCTTCTGACCACTGCCTGTCTAATTTCCAATTGCTAAGTTCCATGGCCAAACAGGATGCAAGTGCTAGAAATTTACGGTGAGTTTGAACTATAAATTTCCTGCAATCTTAGATCTCGTTTAGACTGTTCGTCAGGCAATGCTACATATTTGGCTTAAATTAATTTTGAACTTACACAAATCCAGTTTTCAATGCTGGGTTAATCCAAGAATTTAGTCGACAGTACCTCGTATATAATCCAGATTCGAATTACTGTCCAATTCAAATCATCATTACTTGAAAGCGAAAATAACCCAGGCGAGTTTTACTTTTTCCCTTTCCTGGTTCATTTATTATGATTAAAGTACTTCTTAACATTCTATTAAGTAAGCGTGTGCTGTTTACATACATTTATATCTAGTTGCCTTTGCCACACATATCACTAGGTTAACTAAAGCAGCGTTTTATGTGAGGTTTATAACTCGTCATATTCCTAACTGAAATTCCATAAGTCGTCTCAACTTAAAAAAAATATTTTTCACTTTGGCCATGTTTATTATTTTTTAATTATTATATACCTCAACAACCTGCATGTTGACCTGGCCCGTACATGCGTTGCACCATATCTCTACGTCTATTAAATATAAAAATCATTTGAATCGCCGGTAACATCTTCAATAAACCAGTCATAGTCATTATTGCTATACGGTTTTGGGTTTATGGATTGGTCTATCATATTAGTAGCCTAGAAACACGAACATAGTTTAGATAATAAAGTTAAAAATTTGTGTACTAGCATACTGCCTTAGTATAATAACTAAACTATCAGGTAGTTGATGACTGAACAAACATTAAAAATTAAAACTTCGAAACCTGTCACTAAAAATAACACTATACGTATATTTTTGAAGTTAATTTTATAATATAATTAAGCAGCTCGGATTCCTTAACGCAACAAACTTATAATAATTTCGAATCACCTAAAGCAATAATACCTACTTTTCCATTGGCTTATCTTCAATCAACACTATAATTATTTTAACATAATGGTTTCAGGATATCGTCATAAAGCAATGTCATATCATGACAATCACGTAATATGATTGATAAAATTGAGAAAACTATTAACAAATCGGTCAGCAAATTGACTTGTAATTATCATTAGATAGTGTTGTTTTCTCGGTATCTTCGTCCATTACAGATGATTTTCAGTATGTTTCTCCATCAGTTGTTCATTCAATAAATATCTCAAAACGTTGTAAGTCTAATTGGAGGTTTAGCGACACAATCATGCATGCAAATAATCAGTATAAGCAGTCGAGCAAATCTCCTGCAAACTGCAAACATCAATGTCGAATTTACCCCAACACTGACTAGGGTTCAAGTCATTATCATAGACATGAGTTGGGAGTGTACTCCCCTCGGTTACAACTTATGTTCTTCCTGATAATCACATGAGCATCACTGACTGTTAATCATCTTGTAAAAACTTATTTAGCCGAATACATCGTGAAGCACCACATCACCTAGAAATGTGGCACATAGGCTTAGCTGATTTTAATAACTTATATTCACTATATCTCAATCAAATCGTATTCCACCTCATGCTAAACTGCATACTTCAAAATAAATTGTATGCACCACCAGCCGTTAGGTATAGATATAAATAAATAGTTTATGGCAAGTCAGAACATTGAGTCTAGAGCATATCTTTAACGGATACACTCATGTTTAACGAATTTCCCTTAGCCATCTGTCCAAAATCCACATAATTATTACTTTTGACGTATTTAAAATTTTTTGATAACAATTCATATGTATTAGTTGTATTACTAAATTCTATCACGGTCAAGTACAAACGAGGTCGAGAAAATCTACCCATATCTAAATAAACCGTATCAAACTAACTGAAACACTAGTTGGAATTCTTCTCCGCGCTTATACTTTTGTTCTTTCAGATAGCCTACTAATGCAGATGCAATTGGAAATCAACGCATGGACGAATTTCTGATATAAACGTTATTTTATTTCATAATTCGAACTAAATATAATATCAGTTCTAACATTTCTAAAATATTGATTGTTTTTAATATTTCTAAACAGGAAATGTTATTAACCTACGGCTATTATCTTACGGCGACTTGTTAAAATATCCCTATACGGAGTCATTTCATTATAATTATAATCCCGCTTTGTTTAGCTCAAATAATCTTTGCCCAAATTTTCATTTAAAGCGTGTTAAGCATTAAATGAGACACTTTAAAATTATTACGTGTGTTTCCCGACCAGATGCTGCCGCCTTCTTTCTGATTTATCTTTCAGTTCATCAATACCCGGATGATTCTTATTATTCTTGCTAACCTCCGGCGCGCGACAATGCCGCACAATTTGGTATCGAACCAACGTCACGTTGATTCTGGTGAAAGAATAGTGTAGTGGCATTGAGCCCTATCACGAGACAATATGACAAATAGACATTAAACATTTAACGCGGAGAAATACAGAAGAATGGAGAATGCGAGGAGAATGAGTTAAAATAGTCCGAGTTGATCGGATGGCATGGCTCGACCATGCAGGCGTAGTCCCTCCTGAATTTTACCTTATACCTTTTATTCATATTAAATATATTGTCCTATCTCTAGCCTAAGATTGTTCTATATCATGTATTCACAATTGTTAAGACGCACTGAGTTGGTGTAGATGATGATGTGATTTCCACGTAAGATCTTATAGATTAGGCAGTTACATCATAACAAATCTACAATTTTAGGATTAGGTTTATTATAAGAGCGGTGCTAATATCATAGTAGACCGTAATTCTACAAATTTACACCTCAAGAAAATGAGCTCTCCCTAATTCTTAGTATACTGGGTGATTTTTCATGCCTCTTACAGCATTCTTACATTGTGATACAAGATCTTTGATAAAGTTATTGTCAGAATTTGTACACAAAGAAGTGTGTACACCCAGCAATCTTAGGCCTCTTAGCCCAGGCATAGATGTGATGTCATTAATTGCACTACTTGTAAGTTTTAAATTATAATGAAACATTCAATTCCTCTTAAGAATGAATGACACTATGCTACCGTTATCAGCAATAAGTGAATGAGATTAGCCTGTGTTGGTGATGAATTTTTGAATCGAATTTGAGTCACTGCTTCAGGCGGTAATGAGTGATAGCGAATCCATCCTTTTGTCCAAATCAACTGATTTTGACCCACCATCAGTCAGTGTTTTAGTGGTAAGCGACTTGGAACCTTGACAAACGTTTTGTCTGTCTTCAACTTTTCCACACTTACACCTGTTACTTCTCATGAAGAAGCATAGGTCACCAACCAGCATTCTCCATCCAACCCTGTACTGGGCAATATTTTTCAGCTCTTTCCAGCTGTTATTCATCCTTTTCATATCTGTATTTCTTGGCGTAATGTGTTCTTTGACCTTCCTCTGTTTCGCTTCCCTTCAGGATTCTAAGTTAGGGCTTGCTTTTTGATGCAGTTCGGGTTTTCCGTAACGTATGTTCAATCCACTATCATCCTCTTTACCCAATTTCCTCTTCAGCTGGAAGCTGGTTTAATCTCTCCCACAATAGGCTGTTACTGTCGGTATCCGGCCAATGTATGTTGAGTATTTCGAAGTTGAGTGTTCACCGTGTCTACCATCCGTTTCAGCAACATGCTGTTGAAAAACTTTCCTGGTACTGATAGTAGTGTGATGCGTCTGTAGTTTTCACATTTGCTCAGATCTTTCTTCTTTGGGACCTTCATGAGGTGTTGTGGTGGATCCCAGCAAAATAGTTTATACAAGATATATCAATACACTAAGTTAATAATAATATACCAAAAAAGTTAACAGTAAAAAAACCTTAGGTGTCTGTGTACGAGTAAAAACTATGGGTAACAATTTACAGTTATAATACAAATGGTATATTGAGCAATATGATAATAACAATTATTACGGAATGAATGTTACTTGTAGGCTGCTCTCTGGGATGACAACCACAAATAAGTCCACTTGATTTAACGTAGATTCTCTTGCGAATGATGGCACCGATGGCGTGACGAGAAAGACAAAGTCCAATAGTATTATGTAATAATAATCCGGGCCAAAATACCAACGTAGTGTAAGAAGGCCTAAAAGGATATTATGACACTATTATAGTCTTCGGTCATAGGCCGTGGCCAATAAAGCAGAAGGACAGACGACGTAGATAACGTGCTATATTTCAACCAGCGCGGTAGTAAAAAGAATATTCCATTTATCAAAACAATTATCATCGTTTTTAAATAAGTGATACAGAAAAACTACAGATATTGAATAAAAATGTGGTTACAAAAATCACGGAATATACGTCACCATAGTGTCCTTCCCAGTCCGTTAGCACATGTTCCCCCTCCCAAATCTTCTTGAACAGAATATGTGCATGTTTGCAGTTACTTCAGTATTCAGTGACCCAACTGCCGAATGATTTGGTTAGGTCTCAGTGACATTTTACTAGCCCTGCAGTCTTCTCTAAGCACTCGAATTATTACTTTATGTCTAAACGTTGCTACCAACCAAACCCTTGTCGGGTAATGTGACAACTGCTGATATCCAGAAACTCTATTGTCCTAAGACAAACTCAATCACTTTAAATACATTACATGCAAATCCACAAATAACTACCAAACTCACTAGAATTATTTCGGTCGAGTATCTAGACTACCACCAATTGGACATTATAAAATACGTGGAACCGTATCGAAAAAACGAGAAGAGAGAGCAAAGAAATTAATCGTTTTATACAAAACCATGTCAAAGCTATTGGGTATTGGACTGAAGAGTCATTATCCGCGTAATTTCAGAAACGCGTTGCGTTGGCGATGACAAGGTATGTTGGTTGGTGGTTGTTTATTACTGATTACGAAGTAGTTATTACAACCCCAACTGTGAGCGATATATTCAAAGGACCAATGATTCAACTTCTCACAGACTTAAAAATGCTTACTGGACTACCAAACAAGCAGTTATTAAGAAACTGCGTCGAAAGCAAGACGAAAATATTGTAGCTTCCGACTCCGATCTCGACGCAAAGTTGGAGGTAAAAACACTCTTTTTATGACTTCTTTAGCTGTTAAAGTCTGTTCAGTTGACATGTCGAGATCTTGACAATGTATTGGCACGTTATCAGAGAACGTTGTGCTGTAAGCTTTCATTATTATCCTGATGACTGTTCAGATCTGTCTCAGGCTGAAAATGAAATGGGACGATTTCTAAAACAATATAGTTTAGAAGATAAAACACAAGCTGGAAAAATCATGTCTGCTGTCGGAAAGGCTTTAAGTAGCTCAGCACAACAAAGGTAAAACTGCATTTTTCCTGTTATATACTTTTGGACTCACTACAACTTCAATAATTATTACATACAACTAACGAAATTACGATTTCCTGAGTGCACATTATATTTGACGCGCTGTTATCGTTTAGTATCTTGATTCCTTAACCACGAGCCTCAGGGCAACCCTGAGACAATGTAATAAGTAAGGGCTGTGATCCGTTACTTCTAGCAAAATAATATGCTGTGACGAACCGCATATGTAGTTGTCTGTACATCCATTTAGATTTACAGTGGAGCAAGTTGAGTTTTTATCTGTTTCCATACAAACATGTACACCACATTGGAGTCATGACTTGTTTTTGTCAATCTGTATCGTTTTCTGAATTTGTGTTTTAAATAGACTTACTCTACTCAGTCCACTTGATCGTGTTCATCAAGAAGTCAAGACATTCAGACAACAGGCAATCAGTGATACAACAAACACAGTTAAAATTATGGAACAAGGTCGCACAGAATATCGAGGTGCATTGTTGTGGATGAAAAAAGTAAGCGAAGAGTTGGACCCAGATACATACAAACAATTGGAGAAGTTTCGGTGTGTTCAAGCGCAGGTAATTCATATATATATATTTTGAATAGTTCGATATGAACCATTTAAATGGCTTGATTTAGTCAGATTTTATCGAATAATGGGGCAAAGATAATAATGGTTAATAAAACAGTCGTTGAATTGTATAATATGAATGTTTTTATTTATTTATTTATTTAAACACATAAACATTGCTACAAGGAAGCACCAAATAGATATGCGCCACATTGGATTAGTTTAAAGGTTGGGATACTACTCGGGTGACCAAACCGAAACAGGTGACTTTCTTGGGGAGACACACCCGGAACCTTCGACCTAAAGGTTTAATCCACAAGGCAGTGGAGCAACGTCAGATGCAGTCCCATGGCAGCCGGTGACCAACGATTGGTTCATATGTCATTTGTTCGCTTAGGATCACGGAGCCTGTGTGCACCATTGGTTTGGAATAAGGGTTTTTCAACTCTCCTAGGTGAACTCTCCGGTTCTACCAACCTCGCTTTTCGTCCTCCCAATTTCGTAAACAACACCGGTGCCGCGATAAGGCAGCGAGTAGGACTTCCTTGTCAGTGGTTGCATGCATGTGGTCATGTGAGAGCATTACGAGTGGTAGAGCGAACTATCCGCACCGTTGGCTGTACCAGGGCATTGGGGGGTGGCAATGAGAGATACTCCGTTTCTCCATCGATTTCTGACTTCAATTGAGCCTTCTGACCTAACGGTACATAAACGATTGTCATCAGGATTTCAGTCGATAAACGCTGCTTCTGATCTGGCGTTCAGTGCGACACTGGACGGTAGTGCTACAAGGTCTCCAGGTTAGAGAAATATGGAACAAACATTTCAAATTCATTTACAGGAGAGGAGTTTCTAGCATCACTGGTCTTGAATGTGAGCCTCAGACTCATAGTATACGTTAATAGTAAGCTTTTCCAATGATAGATGTATCTGACTCTTGTCCGACTTGCATCGAAGCACGAAGGTTGGCGATAGTTCTAATTTGGGCTCGTAGCTTCAGAAAGCTGTGTCAGAGTTTGTATATCCTGGTAGAATCCGTAAGATCGACTGTTCACTAGTTTGAGTTAGTTTAGATAAGACAGGACATTCAATAAAGATAAACTACTAATTGAGTCGAAGCATAGAAGTAAACACCTGCTTCGGTTTGGGCACCCGAGCAGTATCATAGCCCTCACACAAATCAATTGAGATTCGTGTGGCGCATATGTATTTGGTGCCTCATTGTACCAATACGTGTTAAAATAAATAAATAAATAAAATAGAAGTAAACAGAATAGAAATATGGGGAGAGAGGAAGTTGAAACAATGTAAAATAAATTCATCTTAAATAAACTGCATATTTTGCGATTAGACAAATAGGCATAACGAACAGGACATTTCCATAACTGTCCATTATCATATTTTTGTATGTGGTGGGACACTGTCCGGACCCCCACTCCTAAGCAGGTTTCTAGTTCCTCACACTTCAGGCATTGTTCATATTGAGTTTTGGAATGATTTCCTGCTGTGATATATATCATCCTTACATCTGTCTCGTTTATTTTATGCTTAGCATATATAATATGTCAGTGATGTATACGAAAAAAAATATTTCTGAAATTCACTAGCCTACCACTGTCCAATGTAGTGTTTTTCATAGTTGGAACAGTTTAGATGGTAGATGATTTTTGGCTTTTATTCATTATTCAACAAAAGGACGAAATGAAAATGGAAAAAAACTGGAAATCATCTACAAAATGAATTGTTCCAACTGTGAAAAACACTACATCGGACAAAGTGGCGTCCTCTTCATCTTCGTCCACACGGATATCATTTGGTGGTCAACTCGCTTATATCAATTCATGTGGACAACTGTGGATATATTCGACTGGGAAAATGTTGGGATCTTGGATAGAGAATACTAAAAGCATCGGAGAATTTTTAGATGCTAGTCAATCAATAGTCGACAAACACATTGAAATCGATCCAGTCTATCAACCAATCAGAAAAATCATGAACAGATATGGGACCGAGAATCAAATCAATGAGGGACACAATCAAAATAAAGAAGATAATGACAGGTTAAAAGTCAACAATAACCAATCAACATCGAGGTCGACAGGACAAGATGTGAGTCATGTGTGGAAAAATTCGAACACCACTTCTACCTAAAGTTTGTGCTGATGATGTCATTCAGAGTAACTATGAAAGCTCCACAACCAAACCATCCAGCTCAGAGAACAAAACTCCACATAAGTCATCCACATTAGCCACATCTACTCCACCATTACAAAACAACTTATTAGAAACTCCAAAAGATTTCATAGTACTCAAAAGGTTCAGCAACTTGTAAACGTTGTAGTGGTCAGTTAAGAAATGTGATATAACCACCAACCGAAGTTATTTATTTATTTATTTATTTTAACACATAGGTATTGGTACAAGGAGGCACCAAATACATATGCGCCACACAAATATCAATTGATTTGTGTGTGGGCTGAGATACTGCCCGGGTGCCCAAACCGAAGCAGGTGGTTTCCTTGGGGGGACACACCCCGAGCATTTGACCTAAAGGTCTATTCCACAAGGCAGTGGAGCATCGTGAGGACATGCAGTCCCATGGTAGCCGGTGACCAACGATTGGTTCATACGCCATTTGTTCCTTCAGGATCCTGGAGCCCATGTGCACCATTGGTTTGAGATCCGGTTAAAGCGCCGGACATTCGCTTTTCGTCCTCTCAATTTCGTAAACAACACCCCCGCCACAAGAAGGCAGTGAGTAGGACTTCCCTGGCAGGGGCTATATACGCGTGGCCATATGAGAGCATTTCGAGAGGGTGAGCGGACTCTCCCCACTCTCGGCCGTACCAGGGCATTCAGTGACTTAAGACGTTATCGGATATTGCTCAGAATGAAAACCAGTGGCGGGTCCCGCTGTAGTTTCCTTCGATATTCCTCACAAAATAGAGAAATTCAACGGAATGGATCCTTCTTATTCGTATCTGTTTAAAACTGACTACCTATTGCAATTCATCCTTGTTCACTTATTTCAATTCATTTGTTCAGTTGACCATCCTTCCATTCCTTTCTCTATCTCCACACAATGTCGTTTTCTTATTCGTGTGGGGCATATTTATTTTGGCGTCCAGTTGTACTAGTATTTATGTGTATAGATAGAGTAATTAGTACTTAGTTCACCCATACCAACCAAAGTAACTCGATATCATTGTCTACTATGTTGGAGGCAGTCGTAAGTCAATATTTCTTACTTATCAGCACTGACCGATAAAACCTATCCCTGACATAAAAAGGAAGTCACGCTTCCTATGAGCGAATATCTTTTTATGCTAGACTTAGTGATCAAGAATTCAGGTAAATCAGTCCCCATTTAACATAAAACAACTGTGTTCTTAATGATTTTATTCTCCTTTAAGTGGTTTACTTTCTAAGTTTATCGATTATAAGCCCATTGTTCATCACTTTTATCATTTAGGTTCGTAAAGCAAAAGCATCATTTGATCGCCTAAAAGTGGACAGTATGCAAAAAGTAGATCTGTTAGCAGCCAGTCGATGTAATATGCTGAGTCATGTACTTGTCGGCTATCAGAATACTTTGTTGACTTTTCTTGAAAAGACGTCTCAGTAAGTTTTAGCTTTTCTTAATAAGTGGATGTGAAGCTTTTTCTGAGTTCAGAATCCTTAGTTAAATGGAATGTACACAAAATTTGAGAATACTATGTGGCATATCTTTTATCTTGAAAGTAATTCCAGGAAAATACCTAATAGCGTTGTTGTTGTTCCATGCTATTCAAGCAAATTTCCATTCTAGATGGTCTTTCAACTCGCTAGTTCTACTCCTGACATATACATAGTTTTCAAGTACCTGGATGGGTTTTGTGTCCTTATACCCTCAAAAAATTCTTTGCAACATAAATCAGTTGGACACTTTGGGGTTCCCAATAATTTTGTGTATGTAGTTTTAAGAATAAATGACCATATTCAGAAGGCTGTAACTCCATTAAATACATTTAGTTCAGTTCAGAGGTTTAACTCAAGGTGTTTTATTTACTATAGTAATGTTTCTAAAAGATACACTAGAATATATAAAGTATAACTCTTATAAACAATTAACGATTTCATGCCGTTTCAGCTCCCTTCGTCTCACTTTGAAAATGAATGTCGTTAACTGTATATAACAGTTGCTTTAAACATATTTTACAACTCAACTGTAACCTCACGACCATAAACACATAGTCCTTGCGTTATCAACCTCGCCCATCCGTACCTGCTGCCTTCACGTGGTTGCCAGACTCTTCTGTCGTAATGATCCAGTTGATCTATATTAGCTAGAACACTTTCTTTTAGATCTTACCGTGGTGGGAAGATCAGTTGTAGAACAATGAAATTAAAAGTGCCAACTTAAGATCTGAGGGTGGGTCACACTGCTGCCTGTACAGGGCTGTGACAGCAGTATGCTGTTTCCCTCAAAAAACCAACATCTACAGCAATAATCTCTTCCTACAACTGAAAGAGGTTAGACAAGGTTAGTCCCAAAAAACAGGACACCTACAGATTTTTGTCCCCGGTGGTAAGGCCTTTAGAGTACGGAGGTAATACATCAAGAACTTCCCACAAAAGGAATGTGTGACCGGTGTCAAGTGGTTGTCTTCTAGGCTATGTGTTCACTTCCCAAGTCACCAAGACTTCTACTGATTCATTTTCGTTTCCAGATACTTCAAGAAGTATCCTTCCAAGGTGTAGGTGACTGGCAAATAAAATCCACCCACACACTTCTAACAACGTTTGAGGCAACCTGGTTCACGACTGAACTATCTCGTATATCATAGCGTAGCGATGATAAACTATACGTACTATTATTTTTATAAACAGGTTATTTTTTCATCCCAGGTTCACAAGTGAGTAAAATTTCCTTTTATGTGTATGCCGGCAGCCAAGTTGAAAGTAGTTTCTATACAAATACTATTTCTACTTTTACATTTGAATACTATTTTCAAACTAAAGTAAACTACCTTTTTCAAAATGTTCTTATCACTAGTATGATGGTAGCAGTAGCAGAAAGTTTCAGAGGTTATCAATACTATGAATTTTCAATTCTTCAGCATTTGAGACCAGAAAGTCGTAAATTGGCTGGATATAAGAGCGATGATGAGAAAGATAGCGATAGGTAATTTTTCGTTGTTTTTAATTTATAGGTAATAAAACATTTATATATCTGATGCAGGTATTCATAACCTACGTATGACTGACAAATAAGTGTTCTAAGTGGTATATATAGCGAGCTGGGAAGTGTGTAATTCATAACTTAAAAATTTTAGCCACTATAAGGGAATGACGATAAACGCATATATGCGAACAATATTGGTGATACGAACTAGTAATTGTATTTCGACACAACAGATCATACCTAATGTGTTCACTATGAGATCCCATTATTTTGATGTATCATCCATCTAATAGTCCCCTACATAGACAGGTTCTGTTGATTTGGAAGAGATATTTGACTATTTTGACCAAACCCTCAGATTTCGCGGTGAATACGTTAGTTAACTTGAACTAAATTTGTCAAGGTACTAGTTCATGTCACTGTGATTGTCCTTTAAAGTTGTTTGCATATAGGTTTACTGCCATTCATTGATAGTAGCTAAAATATTCAAATTATGAGCTACACACCTCCCGTCTCAATATTAGCAGTTGCGGTTCAGTTTCACAAGCGCTCTAAAGGTTCCAAACTATGGTTAAACAATTATTTAGATCTCCTTGGGTTTTCTTGCTCTTTAACTAAATATCATTAAGTAATGATAACTGTCTATAAATAGAAGCTTCTCGCGAATCACGAACTTAATTATTATTATCAGCACTATGAATCGCTTCAGTTATTTATCTAAACTAGGAGCTAGATAGGGTTATCCACGAATAAGATTTTTTTCTAACATAGTTTTATTTCTTGCCCCATTTATTATAGACTGGAGACCAAAACAAAATAAGCACAAGTAATTTTTAGCTGTTTCTCACAATTTTCGTCAGTATTACATCTCAGTTGTCATTAGAGGGTGGAACCAAATGCCGCAAACATTAGTTTCTCTAGTTACAAATACATTTTGTACCATTTGTTTATACCCCCAACACTCAGAGCATCTTGGATAGAAGTATTTTTAGTTTTAATATACATTTTTGTAATTTTCTTTGTTTTCGTTACAAACCAGTGAAAATGATAACGTGAAAGCAAAGAAAAAGGGAGGTGATAATGAGGGAAATGAACGTAGTTCTTCTTCATCTAGTGATGTGGGATATACTCATAATCAATCTTTGAGAAACTGCAAAACCTCGTGTATCTTATCTTCAATTCACTCATGCATCCCTAGTGGATATGAAGCTTTAAAAAGTGATGATTCCACAGAGAGACAAAAAACCGTGACTTGGTAAATGTGTGTGCGTGTGTCTCTGTTTGGCTTTGAGTTTGCCTATTGGCTTGACGATTCTGAAAAATTTCCTTTAACTTTCCAGATCTCAGATACTTGCAATTTATTTGGTGAAAGAATGTTTGTATTTATCCAAGATTTTTGTTTGAGTTGAAGAGTTTTGCTCTCAGTTGTTACATTTTTTCCTCATTTTGATGTTCAATTCAGACAAAACGTTTTCATATTGCACTTACGGGTTTATCATCGGTGCTTTTTATTTATAATGACATGGCTGTAATCTTTCACTTTGTTTTCAGGAGAGTTATTCTGGTTCTATTCAAAACTGATTTTTATCCACACCCAACTTAACCTCGAATGTTGCATACACTGGAGTAGTCTGATTCTGTCTGGTTTCTGATGCAAACGTTAAATTTGTGTTGTCGATAGGATATTCATTTTATGGTTAATATCCGGTCATTCAGTACAGCATTAATTTTCTTTCATTACGAAGTATGTATAAATAGTTTGGTATAATTAGGTATTTATTAGTAAGTTTCCAATATAGAACAGCAGAAAGATGGTTCGGTGATTAAGACGTTTGATTTTCAGGCACTAAGTTACAGGTTCAAATCCACCCACCCGGCTTGGTTTGGGCAACTGGGCGATATCACTAAACCCTGCACTTACAGTGTGACTGAATACATGAATCTGTACATGGTAAATAAGTTTAAGAATGCTGTGTATTTATCATATATTAATGAACTAATATATAATTTCAATAGTTGAGATCATGAGTCAATTGAAGCTAGACCACCATGGAAAACCTGGAAGCACTAGACGGCCGTTTCGTCCTATTGTGGGACTCCTCAGCCGTGTGCATCCACGATCCCGCCTCGCGAGATTCAAACCCAGCACCTATCAGTCTCATCACCGAAATCATTATCTCAACTATTCAAATTACTATAATATTCACAAAAACCCTTCTAATATGTAATTATTGATGAAAGTACGAAGTAGGTAAACTAATTTAGCTAAATAGTCATGTAACACACAAACATTACCATGATTTTTCGTATATATTTTAGCCCTTACTGTGGATTCAAGTTTCACAATGTAGAAGAGGAGAAATTCATTTATCCCTTGACTTTTTTTAAGCATGCCGAAAAATATGTTATTGACCAAAATGATGAACTTGTGCAAATAAATAGCGGCTTAGTGTGTTCACACAACACAGCTTCAACTAATTGGTTTACACTTCATCTTTTTTGACCTAAATAGCCGTGTATTATCTGCACACCTCACACAAATATTGTGGCTCAAATCAGAGTACATAAATTAGGTCGTACTTGGTGACAATTTGTGCAAATGTTGATCATAGTCATTTATTGATTATTTTATTTTAACACATAGGTATTGGTACATGGAGGCACCAAATACATATGCGCCACACAAATATCAATTGATTTGTGTGTGGGCTGAGATACTGCCCGGGTGCCCAAACCGAAGCAGGTGGTTTCCTTGGGGGGACACACCCCGAGCATTTGACCTAAAGGTCTATTCCACAAGGCAGTGGAGCATCGTGAGGAGATGCAGTCCCATGGTAGCCGGTGACCAACGATTGGTTCATACGCCATTTGTTCCTTCAGGATCCTGGAGCCCATGTGCACCATTGGTTTGAGATCCGGTTAAAGCGCCGGACATTCGCTTTTCGTCCTCTCAATTTCGTAAACAACACCCCCGCCACAAGAAGGCAGTGAGTAGGACTTCCCTGGCAGGGGCTATATACGCGTGGCCATATGAGAGCATTTCGAGAGGGTGAGCGGACTCTCCCCACTCTCGGCCGTACCAGGGCATTTTGGGGCTGATCATAGTCAAGTCAACTACAATTCCCTCTAATCCTGCTTCGGTTTGGGCACCCGGGCAGTATCACAGCCCTCACACAAATCAATTGAGATTCGTGTGGCGCATATGTATTTGGTGCCTCCTTGTACCTATACCTATGTGTTAAAATAAATAAATAATAAATAAATTCCCTCTAATGTGACAATATGTACTGCGGTATATTATTGGTATCTGGCTATTAATTAAATTAAACAGACTTTAATACAGCGAAGTTAATTAACTTTTTCGGGGACCAGATTGGATTACTCAACCACCTCATCATCAGTCAATGTCAAGTAGTTTGGTTTGTTTGTCCATAGCTTAGGAGTGTTCAATGTCCTCTACTAAAAATATATTCGTGCTTATTCACTTATTTATTTCTAAAATATAGGTTAGACAGTGGATTTAACCAAGTTGAATTAAGTGATCCAGCAATTATGAATCCTGATGACAATAACCATGGAATACATCAAACAAAACTAACAGATGAAGAAGAATTTGATAAAAAATTAGATGAAATTTTCCTAGAAAATCATTGTAGTAATTTCGACTTTGATTCAGATCAATTTAAATCAGCAGGGAATCAAAACGGTTTTGGTGGAACTGAAGACAACAATAACATTATTGGTAAGGTTAACTTTTAGTACTATGTTTTAGTTTGTAAAGCTGTTTAAACGCTTCTCATTGTCAGTAAAATGTATTTTTTTAAAACTTGATGCTTTAATGATAAGCTATGAGATAAGGCTATGAGCGTTCATCGTCTTGTGTGGTTGGGTTATGTATTACGTACATCTAACCATCTCCCACTATGACTCTCAACGGTTGATGGTGTAGAAATATTTCGAAATGAAGCTAAGGATAGCCTTTCTTCTCGAGTTATATTACTTACGCCCAATGTTTTTTAATACAACTGATGTTGTTACTACTCCTATTATTCAGGGATTTGTCTCAATATCATATATCGAAATGCTCTCACATGACCACATGCATGCAACCACTGACAAGGAAGTCCTACTCGCTGCCTTATCGCGGCACCGGTGTTGTTTACGAAATTGGGAGGACGAAAAGCGAGGTTGGTAGAACCGGAGAGTTCACCTAGGAGAGTTGAAAAACCCTTATTCCAAACCAATGGTGCACACAGGCTCCGTGATCCTAAGCGAACAAATGACATATGAACCAATCGTTGGTCACCGGCTGCCATGGGACTGCATCTTCTGACGTTGCTCCACTGCCTTGTGGATTGAACCTTTAGGTCACCTGCCACCTGCTTCAGTTTGGTCACCCGAGCAGTATCCCAGACTTTACATAAATCGAATGATTTATGTGTTGCATATCTATTTGGTACCTCCGTGTACCAATGTTTATGTGTTTAAATAAATAAATAAATACCACTTTACTAATACGGGGCACCAATTTGAACGAATGCATATATCTGCCAGGTTCTGTGTCGCTTACAACTGTTCATTTGTTAGTCATTTAATTAAATCTTTCCTACATGCTGTTTCATCATCCAAATAGTTACTCTTCTTATATGCATAATTACTATTTGCTGGTTATGAATATATGCTTGAACTACCTTGTATATGTTTTGCCCATTTTCGCTTCTACTTTGCCATAATGTTTTAGGGACTGATGATCTTGTTTGGCTTAACAATTTTAGGTCCGATTAATGAATCTAGTGAGCAAGTCCCTGCTGATCATAAAGATTTATTCACTGATCTTTTTCTTAGTGATGCCAAAGGTGATAGATTCGCTGAACAACTTTCTGGAATGGATACTCGTAAGTTTTTTATGGTAATGAGACAATTAGTTTTATCATTTTCTCAAGTGTCCATTTATGACTTTACTGTAAAAACAAGTAGAGTACTGTTTTTTAAACATGAAGATGTCTTTCTCTTACGAGGCGGGAGATGATTCTATAACTTTAATTGCATCATCAATACCGTACTTTCAGTGATAATATGTGTCCCTAATTACGACGTATGCGGAAGATAAATTTTAATTTCGTATATCGATTTAGGGTGATTTTCGTCCAGTCAACTCCAAGCATTTTGTTGTATTAGATCTCTCAGAAGGAATTCTATTCATTAACTTTCAATGTAGTCCAATTGTAATTTATCACTTGATTTCCACTTTATTTTCCTTGTATTGGTTATTTTACTGTGATTTTGTTTTCAAAGACAATTAATTACACTGTTGATAAAACTCAGTAATTAGTATTCATTGGATTTTGATATATAACTGAATTAACTTAGATGTAAATCTTGAACTACATCTACTTCAATTGAATATGCTGGTTAGTTTCAATAATTATCAATCAAGTCATTACTTGATTAATTAATATAATGACAGACCACAAACTCAGCAAACTGACTTCATGAGGATTTAGTCTATACAAATGCAATAGCACTAAAAGTTCATGAATAGAATTCATTTTCAATTAATATATGGATTTGAAAACTGATATGTGTCCAAAAACGTGTTTTGAAAGTTTATTTTCTCCAACACTGATGATATATCATTTGGTTACTCAGATTATCGTAACAATAAAGGGTATAATGATTCATCCATTCAGTCATAATTAACGTAGAAACTGGCGCAAATTCGCGTCGAACATAACACATTAGCACAGAGAAATGTTTCACACTGTGGGATTTAATTTTTTCCCAAAGATGAATTTCTTGAATATGTCCCTATGCTGTCTCATACAGACTTGTTAGGGATATAGTCAAAACAGATAACTATGTGTATAGCCAACAATTACTATCTGTTTCTAAGATGTAGATGAATACAGTTAGCACAAAAACCCAAAGTAGTAGCCGATTACAACACACGCATACCGAACAGTAGCAGGAACACAATAAAATAAACCAATAACACAGTTTATGTTTATACTACCGGTGCAATCTCATGACTGGTCATAACAATAGCCAGTTTGGGACTAAATAAGTCTAAAGTGGTAGGCGTTTAACTCAGATATTATTGTTTGATTCACTCTCATCGATCGAGATTAACAAACCCACAGGTTCTACTATTATTATATAAGTTACGAATTTGTTATAACTTATTATATGAGTCAGATCGAGGTTATTGAATATCATATCCTTATCTACTGCAAGTCAGGAAAACATGTTTTTGAGGTTTATCAACCTAATCATCAACGTGTGCACTTACTTTTGTAACTGGTGGTTTACAGAATTTGATAACATTTAAATAGTATTGGTTGTTGATAGCAGTTAAATATCCCATTTTATTAAGTGTACCAGATATAAGTAGTACCACTCAGGAACTAAAATTGACCATTCCGTCTCTGTAACTTTTGTCCGGATACTGAAGTACATAAAACGTTGCTAAATTTAAAAGACATTAAAATCCAGTAACTTAAACAATTTCCCCTTTGAACTACTAAAAATGAGTTTAAGATACTCATTCAATCCCAGCTTGGTAAATTGAGGATCATTACAAGCCTTCGTAAGGATTTAATCTTTCCAGAAAACCTATGATTTGTTTTCTAACACAATACATAAATCTTCAAAATACTTTAAATTTCTTAATTCTTTTATTTCTTGTAATAAAGGTCCTTTCACTTTTGGAAATAAAGATGGATTCATTAGTGATTCGGAAGCTATCTTTAGCGATTTAAATCAGCCTTGCCAAAACGCTGATTTCGGACCGTTGCAGAGTGTAAGGTCGAAAGTAAGTAAAATATTGTTCAACTTCTTGTTCATACGATAGTCTACTTTGTTAATAATTCATTAGCTTGTTCAATATTATGTTCAGCATCAAGAAGTTTTTTGTTAACAGTAGTTGTTTGATTTAAGAAAATCCAATGTCTTTCCTTAATTTGAAGAGTATTTTTATTTCCAGCTAAAAACGAATGAAAATAGTTAAAAACTGAACAGTTGCTTTGTTAATGGTATATAGACTCTGAAGCATGTTCCGTGCAGGTTTGTGTTGGAGCATACTGATCAGTTGTTTCTTAACTAACCAGCTTTAGCAGATACTTTGGAAGACTCTAGAATATCCTTGTGTAAAATTATAAATATTACTAATGTTTTTCTTATTGTGATTCCTACTTCCATTCAACCTTGCTTATTTGTAATATCACGTTCCTGTTCATTCGTGTTTGCATTTGGGGATTTGTCGAATAAAGTAAAGCGTCCAAAGAATGCTAAGCAATAGGAGTAGCTGATTCGTAATTAGAGGAACCAAACCATGCTCCCTGCATAGTAACATGAAGTACCTGATAATGACGTGTTTCAAATTAGTTTTCGCCATATTCTTATGAATCAGTGTCATGACTTTAACTAGGTAGATGAGAAAAGTGCCAAATCTTGTATACGTATAACGAGTAACGGCTTCTAAATAAAGTAGGTGTCAAGATGTATCTTGATTTATAATGTTTTTTTTGTAAACTCTGATACCATTCTTTGATGAAAAATTCCCTTTAACAAGTGGGTGTCTGATATATTATTTAAGTTATTCACTTTAACATTCATTAAATCTAACTGAATTAATTCAAACTGTATATGTTTCTATTTTCACCACTATTTCGATATGATTAGGATACATTCAGGACACCAATACTTCCTTCATACTTATTAGAACAGGAACTCCAAAATTTATTCAACCCAGGCACTTCTAATTTAATTGGTACTCAATCTTTGGAGTGTACCAACGTGAATACTTCTGCATTTAGTAATAATAACAACCGATCCGAACAACAGTTTAAAAAAAGTGAAAACTCTCTGGGTACCATTTCAAATTCCCCAAAGTCATTATCATCCCAACAGGTAACTGTGTCCATGTTTTTTTGTGTAACTGAATTGGCTTCTTGGTAGTTAAAACATTGAGTTTGTAGCTAAATATCATGGTTTAGTACCCCGTTCTATCTAGTTTGCTTACAAATTTTCACTATCTCACAGCCGAATCCATACCATACTTAAAATGAAGTTCTGCGTTTGGAAATCCAAATCAGTGGTCGGACAATATCAAAAGGTCTTTTGTTACTTGGTAACTACCGATTACATGTCTTTTTCAAGTAGCTTATTTACTCATTAGCTTTTTGGCAAAATAATACAGCATTTATCTTGTCCCAGTTTTTATCCAACTAAAGGTGAAGGATGGCATCTGTGTATATTCAAAACACAAGTTGAACTAGGAAGTATTTCTTTCTAAATACTTCCTCATCAATACTCAATGCTAATATATAGATACTAGACTCAATCAATACCAGCTTTTGATGGAGTCTTGTTCTCTGAGCTGGATAGTATGGTCGTGGAGCTCTCATTGTTCTTCTGAACAACATCATCGGCAAAAACTTCAGGTAGAAGTAGTGTCCGAATTTCTCCACATGTGGTTCACAATTTGTCCTGTCAACCTCGATGTTGATTGGTTATTGTTGACCTTAAAACTGTGATTGTTCACTTCGTTGTTTTGGTTGTATCTCCCATTGGTTTGATTTTTGGTCCCATGTTTGTCCATAACTTTCCCGATTGGTTGATAAATTGGATCGATTTCAATGTGCTTGTTGATTGCTGATTGAAAGTTTCGTAAATAACAATGCGGCCGCAAGAAGGCAGTGAGTAGGACTTCCCTGGGAGTGGCTGTATACACGTGGCTATATGTGAGCATTTCGAGTGGGAGGGCGGTCTCTCCTCACCCTCGGCTGTTTTAAGAATGATTAGAGACTCTTAACTGTATATTATTGTAAATATGTGCTCACACAGTAAGCTATTAAATCATTATTGTCCAATTTATACAAATCTGACCCACTTAAAATCTAAAGGTTATATGGTATCAGTGACTAGTGCTTCGTTTAATAATATATGGTCGGTCAATTTCGATGATTTTTTCAACCGTTACAGTTTAACTGTTATTACTAATATTCGTTTTGCGGTAATAATTGGTGATGATCCTTTAATATGTTTTCACCACTGTTTTTTCGCTTATACATTGAATTTACAATAGCCCACAAATCTAGATGCTTGGTTAAATCTGTTTTCTGATATTGGACCAATCGGTAATCCAGATACAATATCGAAAAAAGCTGGTCAAGTCACGGACGCCTAGAAGTACTCTTGAACATCATATTGTTGTGGCAAAATATATTCGCTTATACGTGTTTTTTTTCCTCCAATTACACATTAATCACTCCTGTGATGTGTGTATTTCCTTTGTTACTGTGTTAATTCATTTATTATATTTATGCCTCTTTTGGTTTTTGTCTCTTTTGAAAATTTTATCATAATGTATTTTGAAAACTTAAATTTCTGGTGTTAACTGTGATAGTTGTTACTCAATCAGAAAAATGCTTCCGTGTTTTTCACCATTGTTTTACTAATTTGGTAAATATAAGCACAAATTAATTACATTTTGTTTATCTTGCTTCCTGTAGTAAAAAGAATATTTCTCACAACATAAATAGTTATATGATCCCTCTGGTGTTTGATCATACTCACCGGTTGATGAAGAAGCTATTAAATATGTTTCACATATATCATAGTGAATGTTGAACTTCTGGTAAGTTTTGTTACGACATATATTTGAATTCGCATCTCTGATTTCCACAGTCTTAGCTCATGCTTACGGTTTGCGGATCATGAGTTAGTATTCAGTTTGTTATGGAGCTGGGACTTTTTAGTTCAACCTTTATAGGAATGCCTTGTTACATAAATCTTTCTCGATATCAATCAATTCGAGAGTATTTTTCCATTACATGTGACATCTCGTCAGGTCTCCAAAAATGCTTGGAGCTTTTGATATAGTAAGCCAATCAGAAGCAGCTTAATGAGAATGTCAGTCGGTGGCAATCAGAAATGACCTGAGGGACAAGTTCATTTCATTGGCTAAGAAATAGATATGTTTCCCAAGGGTTAGAGTTCTATGGTTACATACATAAGTGTTTGTACATGTTATTCAGTAGCTCAATGATGATGTCAAAGTACTGATAGGTTGCAATTCACATGAGATAAAAGAAAAGAGATGGAAAATTTAACGAGCCATATGCTATGAAAACTCCTTTAGGGTGGATGTCGTTTGGTCCTTGCAGTGAGACCACGAAATATGTGGGTATCACAAATTATCTATCGTCTAAAGATAGACGAGAAGCTAGATCAGACAAATTATATAATGTGAGGTTTAAAATAGACCCGATTCACCGTGCGCACACGTCTAAAGGCCGTAAAGCTTTGGACGCTATATCTAAATCTATACAGGTATTAAACAGACATTATCAAATAGCTCTGCCCTGGTGTCACTAAGAAAACTTACCTAATATTGCAAAACTAACAGTGATTAGACTAAATTCTTCGGGGAACCGGGTCATCTGTGACAAAAGTTTGCACAAGGAATATGTTAATGGAAGGATGCGGTATGTTGGACGAGGCTACGCCGAAAAGGCTTCAGAGAATCGCATTAGGTATCGGATTTTGTACTTGCTACCCCACCCTCTCTTAAATCCGAAAGAAAACTGACGCAATAAAAGTCGTATTCAACTGTGCGGCACAATATACGTCGCTGAATAAATCGTGTATTCCGGAACAGATTTAGTCAAGTATCTGGCAGATATCTTCACTAGATTTTGGTGACGGCAGATATTGAAGCTGTTTCATCAAATGAATGTCCCACCACAGGATCGCGATGCACTCAGTTGTTTGTACATGGTGCTTCAAGGGCAGTGGGATTTGAACCCACGACAGGGCATGTCTCTGAAATGGACATTACTGGATCACTGGGCGCATCGTGAATGACTGTTTCACTTACATTACTGCTCACCAAGGATTCATAGAGGCTTTTATCAGCACATTCATATGTACTGCATTCCGTTTCCAGCTCCGTATGCAAATTAGAAATTAATTTATCAACTTCTGTAACAAATCCGAAACATAGATGATTTAGGAGCCGTGTACGTAAATTGTCTAAAACATTCAGCTGGCTATTTTTGAACCGCTGCGTTTGTCGCTCAAATAGCAATTGTAATTGATCGGGATAGATAGCCATTTTTTGAATCAGCACGGTGATGAGAAATGTTGTATGATTAATTAACGACCAATGTCTTTCAAGGACGCCGATGACAAAACTGAATGCTGATTGCTCGAAATAATTAGACTGAATCTCGTCCAATTACAGGTCAACGTTGAAGATTGAGGGTTCAGAAATTTTTTTCTACCCCGTCGCCAATTGTTATAACGTGTGATCCGCCTATTAGAGAGCAGCCTATTATCGATCGAAAACAGTGACGCACAAAATACGACCGAGCAGCCTAGAGCTCTGATTGGTCCTGCTTCCCTGTCTAGCCCAGCCAATTGAGTCCAGAACACAAGTCTCAGCCTCGGTGATATGAATCATTATATTTCAAACACACTCGGTTTATATACCGATCAAACAGACCATAACGTACCAATAAAATATGAAACAACATTCGTACAATAATTAGCCAGATGTGGCTGTGAATGAGGGAGATAGGAATCAATAGATAGGGCATAACTCAAGAATGGTAAATCGTACAATGATAGTTCATAGGTCGAAATAAAACTCATAATAAGAGGGACATGGATATGAACAGACTAGTTACGTGACAATTATACGGTAAAAATATACTCATAATATCGGTCCATAATTGGATCCCAAGAATTACCATTCAATATTCTTATCGGGATACAACAAAATGTTAAGCGAAGACGATTATCTCAAGAAATTACAATAATAAAAATGATGATAATAAAAACAATAGCAATAATCATAGTGATGATGATGAAATCTACGACACATACACCAGGCATAGCTTATTCAAGCGGGAGATGGTAATCCAAGGGTGAGTACGTGTTCGTCAAGTCACCTTTTGTGGCTTTTCATTGAGGAGGCTGTGATCGGTTCAGCAGGCAGAGCATTCCAAATATGGACAACTCTCAATGAGAAAAAGTGAGAACGAACCTGGCTATTCTCTCTTCCACGTGCAATTTTTCGAGGGTTGCTTCGAGGTGCGTGTCGATGATGTTCTGGTAATATGCTCGTTTTAGGGTGGCTTGGCGCATTCAATATTTTGTGTTTCATTACCAAACCACCTCTTATTCTCCTATAGCTCGACGAGAATAATCCCAGGAGCTGGGATTTGTCCTTGTAAGATTTATGTTTCAGCCCTATCACCTTTTTAATTGCTCATCTCTGTACTTGATCTAATAGACTTACATCTCTAGATGAAAATGTGAAATCGTCTAGTAGATGAACGCGTGTTATGTTAGTTGTGGTTCACGTGTCTCCCTCAAAAAATTCAACAAATGTTAGCAATTGGATATGTGGACGTCGATTTTGACAGATAAGCAGACATAGTCAACAAAATTTAAGAGCGGACTAGGACCCAATTATTATCACCAACACATGAACTCCACCTTTACAGGTATTTGGAACCAGTCCGTTGCTTAGCCAATAACTTCAGATGCAAATATCTCCAGTCGGTTCGATCTTTTGTTTTACATCTCTTTTTCCACCCTAAATAAGAACCATGGTCAGAAACCTTCAGGACAATTGTTCATTTGTACCAGGCTCTGCTCTTCTAGGTAGCGTTTTTGCTTCACTTACACTGGATGGGATAGCTTTCAGATAGGCTCTCTCAATATCTCCCAGTGATCATCTACTATCAGTTTTTACCACTCTTGTGGCCATGGGCTGTTTCGAAAGTGCTCACTTATGATCGCGTGGTCTCCGTTAGTGTAGCAAAGGCAGGGGGTATTCTCGTCCTACTGAAGCCCCTTGTTTGTGACCAGGTTGAGTATATTTGCACATATGATGTGGCTGGATAAGTCTTCGTAGGGCTATAACATCCCTAACAAGCTTCATTTGGCTCCTCCAGATTCCCAACATTTACACCCATCACACGGGGGATAAGTGTTCGTGAGGTGTAAAAATAGGGCGACCGAGACACGCTAATTGCTAAAGTCAACTATTATCGTATTCAGACTACATTTGGATGAATTGTGCCTCGATTAAACAAAAGCTATTAAAATCTGTTAGCTTATTTTGACACTGTTTCAGGTCGCTGGATTACATTAAGGTTTGACATGACAGGAAACAAAACAAGACTACCCTGAGGTTTAGAGCTTACAAGGGATCTAAAGAACATAAGTCGCTTTTTTTACGACTAACAACATCACAAATTTTCAGTCTTATTGACTTTTATATGACGCACTTAAAACTCCCCATATTCCAAACACAATATGTGATGTATACACGTGGCTATATGTGAGCATTTCGAGTGGGAGGGCGGTCTCTCCTCACCCTCGGCTGTTTTAAGAATGATTAGAGACTCTTAACTGTATATTATTGTAAATATGTGCTCACACAGTAAGCTATTAAATCATTATTGTCCAATTTATACAAATCTGACCCACTTAAAATCTAAAGGTTATATGGTATCAGTGACTAGTGCTTCGTTTAATAATATATGGTCGGTCAATTTCGATGATTTTTTCAACCGTTACAGTTTAACTGTTATTACTAATATTCGTTTTGCGGTAATAATTGGTGATGATCCTTTAATATGTTTTCACCACTGTTTTTTCGCTTATACATTGAATTTACAATAGCCCACAAATCTAGATGCTTGGTTAAATCTGTTTTCTGATATTGGACCAATCGGTAATCCAGATACAATATCGAAAAAAGCTGGTCAAGTCACGGACGCCTAGAAGTACTCTTGAACATCATATTGTTGTGGCAAAATATATTCGCTTATACGTGTTTTTTTCCTCCAATTACACATTAATCACTCCTGTGATGTGTGTATTTCCTTTGTTACTGTGTTAATTCATTTATTATATTTATGCCTCTTTTGGTTTTTGTCTCTTTTGAAAATTTTATCATAATGTATTTTGAAAACTTAAATTTCTGGTGTTAACTGTGATAGTTGTTACTCAATCAGAAAAATGCTTCCGTGTTTTTTCACCATTGTTTTACTAATTTGGTAAATATAAGCACAAATTAATTACATTTTGTTTATCTTGCTTCCTGTAGTAAAAAGAATATTTCTCACAACATAAATAGTTATATGATCCCTCTGGTGTTTGATCATACTCACCGGTTGATGAAGAAGCTATTAAATATGTTTCACATATATCATAGTGAATGTTGAACTTCTGGTAAGTTTTGTTACGACATATATTTGAATTCGCATCTCTGATTTCCACAGTCTTAGCTCATGCTTACGGTTTGCGGATCATGAGTTAGTATTCAGTTTGTTATGGAGCTGGGACTTTTTAGTTCAACCTTTATAGGAATGCCTTGTTACATAAATCTTTCTCGATATCAATCAATTCGAGAGTATTTTTCCATTACATGTGACATCTCGTCAGGTCTCCAAAATGCTTGGAGCTTTTGATATAGTAAGCCAATCAGAAGCAGCTTAATGAGAATGTCAGTCGGTGGCAATCAGAAATGACCTGAGGGACAAGTTCATTTCATTGGCTAAGAAATAGATATGTTTCCCAAGGGTTAGAGTTCTATGGTTACATACATAAGTGTTTGTACATGTTATTCAGTAGCTCAATGATGATGTCAAAGTACTGATAGGTTGCAATTCACATGAGATAAAAGAAAAGAGATGGAAAATTTAACGAGCCATATGCTATGAAAACTCCTTTAGGGTGGATGTCGTTTGGTCCTTGCAGTGAGACCACGAAATATGTGGGTATCACAAATTATCTATCGTCTAAAGATAGACGAGAAGCTAGATCAGACAAATTATATAATGTGAGGTTTAAAATAGACCCGATTCACCGTGCGCACACGTCTAAAGGCCGTAAAGCTTTGGACGCTATATCTAAATCTATACAGGTATTAAACAGACATTACCAAATAGCTCTGCCCTGGTGTCACTAAGAAAACTTACCTAATATTGCAAAACTAACAGTGATTAGACTAAATTCTTCGGGGAACCGGGTCATCTGTGACAAAAGTTTGCACAAGGAATATGTTAATGGAAGGATGCGGTATGTTGGACGAGGCTACGCCGAAAAGGCTTCAGAGAATCGCATTAGGTATCGGATTTTGTACTTGCTACCCCACCCTCTCTTAAATCCGAAAGAAAACTGACGCAATAAAAGTCGTATTCAACTGTGCGGCACAATATACGTCGCTGAATAAATCGTGTATTCCGGAACAGATTTAGTCAAGTATCTGGCAGATATCTTCACTAGATTTTGGTGACGGCAGATATTGAAGCTGTTTCATCAAATGAATGTCCCACCACAGGATCGCGATGCACTCAGTTGTTTGTACATGGTGCTTCAAGGGCAGTGGGATTTGAAACCCACGACAGGGCATGTCTCTGAAATGGACATTACTGGATCACTGGGCGCATCGTGAATGACTGTTTCACTTACATTACTGCTCACCAAGGATTCATAGAGGCTTTTATCAGCACATTCATATGTACTGCATTCCGTTTCCAGCTCCGTATGCAAATTAGAAATTAATTTATCAACTTCTGTAACAAATCCGAAACATAGATGATTTAGGAGCCGTGTACGTAAATTGTCTAAAACATTCAGCTGGCTATTTTTGAACCGCTGCGTTTGTCGCTCAAATAGCAATTGTAATTGATCGGGATAGATAGCCATTTTTTGAATCAGCACGGTGATGAGAAATGTTGTATGATTAATTAACGACCAATGTCTTTCAAGGACGCCGATGACAAAACTGAATGCTGATTGCTCGAAATAATTAGACTGAATCTCGTCCAATTACAGGTCAACGTTGAAGATTGAGGGTTCAGAAATTTTTTTTCTACCCCGTCGCCAATTGTTATAACGTGTGATCCGCCTATTAGAGAGCAGCCTATTATCGATCGAAAACAGTGACGCACAAAATACGACCGAGCAGCCTAGAGCTCTGATTGGTCCTGCTTCCCTGTCTAGCCCAGCCAATTGAGTCCAGAACACAAGTCTCAGCCTCGGTGATATGAATCATTATATTTCAAACACACTCGGTTTATATACCGATCAAACAGACCATAACGTACCAATAAAATATGAAACAACATTCGTACAATAATTAGCCAGATGTGGCTGTGAATGAGGGAGATAGGAATCAATAGATAGGGCATAACTCAAGAATGGTAAATCGTACAATGATAGTTCATAGGTCGAAATAAAACTCATAATAAGAGGGACATGGATATGAACAGACTAGTTACGTGACAATTATACGGTAAAAATATACTCATAATATCGGTCCATAATTGGATCCCAAGAATTACCATTCAATATTCTTATCGGGATACAACAAAATGTTAAGCGAAGACGATTATCTCAAGAAATTACAATAATAAAAATGATGATAATAAAAACAATAGCAATAATCATAGTGATGATGATGAAATCTACGACACATACACCAGGCATAGCTTATTCAAGCGGGAGATGGTAATCCAAGGGTGAGTACGTGTTCGTCAAGTCACCTTTTGTGGCTTTTCATTGAGGAGGCTGTGATCGGTTCAGCAGGCAGAGCATTCCAAATATGGACAACTCTCAATGAGAAAAAGTGAGAACGAACCTGGCTATTCTCTCTTCCACGTGCAATTTTTCGAGGGTTGCTTCGAGGTGCGTGTCGATGATGTTCTGGTAATATGCTCGTTTTAGGGTGGCTTGGCGCATTCAATATTTTGTGTTTCATTACCAAACCACCTCTTATTCTCCTATAGCTCGACGAGAATAATCCCAGGAGCTGGGATTTGTCCTTGTAAGATTTATGTTTCAGCCCTATCACCTTTTTAATTGCTCATCTCTGTACTTGATCTAATAGACTTACATCTCTAGATGAAAATGTGAAATCGTCTAGTAGATGAACGCGTGTTATGTTAGTTGTGGTTCACGTGTCTCCCTCAAAAAATTCAACAAATGTTAGCAATTGGATATGTGGACGTCGATTTTGACAGATAAGCAGACATAGTCAACAAAATTTAAGAGCGGACTAGGACCCAATTATTATCACCAACACATGAACTCCACCTTTACAGGTATTTGGAACCAGTCCGTTGCTTAGCCAATAACTTCAGATGCAAATATCTCCAGTCGGTTCGATCTTTTGTTTTACATCTCTTTTTCCACCCTAAATAAGAACCATGGTCAGAAACCTTCAGGACAATTGTTCATTTGTACCAGGCTCTGCTCTTCTAGGTAGCGTTTTTGCTTCACTTACACTGGATGGGATAGCTTTCAGATAGGCTCTCTCAATATCTCCCAGTGATCATCTACTATCAGTTTTTACCACTCTTGTGGCCATGGGCTGTTTCGAAAGTGCTCACTTATGATCGCGTGGTCTCCGTTAGTGTAGCAAAGGCAGGGGGTATTCTCGTCCTACTGAAGCCCCTTGTTTGTGACCAGGTTGAGTATATTTGCACATATGATGTGGCTGGATAAGTCTTCGTAGGGCTATAACATCCCTAACAAGCTTCATTTGGCTCCTCCAGATTCCCAACATTTACACCCATCACACGGGGGATAAGTGTTCGTGAGGTGTAAAAATAGGGCGACCGAGACACGCTAATTGCTAAAGTCAACTATTATCGTATTCAGACTACATTTGGATGAATTGTGCCTCGATTAAACAAAAGCTATTAAAATCTGTTAGCTTATTTTGACACTGTTTCAGGTCGCTGGATTACATTAAGGTTTGACATGACAGGAAACAAAACAAGACTACCCTGAGGTTTAGAGCTTACAAGGGATCTAAAGAACATAAGTCGCTTTTTTTACGACTAACAACATCACAAATTTTCAGTCTTATTGACTTTTATATGACGCACTTAAAACTCCCCATATTCCAAACACAATATGTGATGTATACATGTGGCTATATGTGAGCATTTCGAGTGGGAGGGCGGTCTCTCCTCACCCTCGGCTGTTTTAAGAATGATTAGAGACTCTTAACTGTATATTATTGTAAATATGTGCTCACACAGTAAGCTATTAAATCATTATTGTCCAATTTATACAAATCTGACCCACTTAAAATCTAAAGGTTATATGGTATCAGTGACTAGTGCTTCGTTTAATAATATATGGTCGGTCAATTTCGATGATTTTTTCAACCGTTACAGTTTAACTGTTATTACTAATATTCGTTTTGCGGTAATAATTGGTGATGATCCTTTAATATGTTTTCACCACTGTTTTTTTCGCTTATACATTGAATTTACAATAGCCCACAAATCTAGATGCTTGGTTAAATCTGTTTTCTGATATTGGACCAATCGGTAATCCAGATACAATATCGAAAAAAGCTGGTCAAGTCACGGACGCCTAGAAGTACTCTTGAACATCATATTGTTGTGGCAAAATATATTCGCTTATACGTGTTTTTTTCCTCCAATTACACATTAATCACTCCTGTGATGTGTGTATTTCCTTTGTTACTGTGTTAATTCATTTATTATATTTATGCCTCTTTTGGTTTTTGTCTCTTTTGAAAATTTTATCATAATGTATTTTGAAAACTTAAATTTCTGGTGTTAACTGTGATAGTTGTTACTCAATCAGAAAAATGCTTCCGTGTTTTTTCACCATTGTTTTACTAATTTGGTAAATATAAGCACAAATTAATTACATTTTGTTTATCTTGCTTCCTGTAGTAAAAAGAATATTTCTCACAACATAAATAGTTATATGATCCCTCTGGTGTTTGATCATAC